AAAAACTGCAACCAAATTTAGAATGTTGTCATTTCTAAGCCACTTGTCCGACAGCTGTTAAAATTATTCCAGTGACAACTCATTATATTGTTTACAAGGGTACAAAAGCATTTTGGTGAGAATTTTCCAGAAAAAAAGTTATTCGTGATGGAATTTAAGCGTGATAGTGTGATTTCTTTATATTTGGCTGGAAAACCACAAGTGGCTATCGTTAGAGCACTTCAGCATTTAAATGTGAATAAATCTTTCGAGTCTCGTACCATCGCTCGTTACCGTGATACTGGTAGCGTAGCCCGACGTCAAGGAAGTGGACGGAAGAAAACAGCAACATCAGTAGAAATGGTTCGAAAAATGAAGAAGCGACTTGATCGAAACCCGCGTCGCAGTGGCCGAAAAATGACTCGTGAGCTGAACATATCGCACTATCCCATTCGGCAATAAGCTCGGCGTATAGCCATTGAAATTCCTAAAAGTGCAAGAACTTACACCGCAACCGAAAGAAAATAGACTCAAAAGAGCTAAAGAGTTGCTTCGCTTGACCGAAAGTGGTGAACTGCCGAATTTGGTTTTCTCGGTCTCCGACGAGAAAACCTTCGTTGACCAGCAGTTTGTAAGCAAACAAAATGATCGTGTTTACTTGCTAAAGAGGTCAGCTGAAAATGTGCACCTTCGCCGGCCATGGGTGTGGGCCGCCATTACAGCCGATGGTTGTTCTCCGCTCGTATTAATCGACCGTGGCATCATTCTGGAGGGTGTATTAAAGCCTTGGGCACGCAAACATTTTGGCCGCAGACCTTGGACATTCCAACAGGACTCAGCACCATCGCACTCAGGACGCGTCACCCATGAATGGTTACAAAATGAGGTTCCTCGCTTCATTTCCAGCTCACAATGGCTACCAAAATCTCCGGATACCAATCCGTTGGACTATTGTGTCTGGAGTATTTTGGAAAGCAAGGTTGGCACTAAAAAAATACCAAAGTGTCGATCACCTCAAACAAGCGCTTCGCCGGGAATGGGCCAAAATACCGCAGAGCAACATTCGGGAAGCGTTTGACGGTTTCATTTTCCGTTTGAAGGTCAAAATTAGTGCCAAAGGTGACCAATTCGAACAAATCTAAACTTATTCTAACATTAGATGATATGTCCGACATTTTTTGCTTTCATTCAATGCAATTTAAAAAAAATAAAAATTATGGCGTTTGACTTTGTTGCTGCTTTTTTATCTCACCCTGTATATTTTTTTGATGTACAACGGAAAAATAGATTTTTTATGTTGAGGAACTCATAATGGAATTTGATGAAGAATATTTTTTTCTTTGACACTTTCCCAAACAAACTTAAGCATTTTGGGAGATTTTGACTCAGATTTGAAACGTATAAAATTTGGAGTCAAAAATGTCATTTATAATTCACAAATTTCAATTTCAAATATAATATTCTCAAAAAACCATTATACCTAAATATGCAGGGACTTATAGTGAAATTTGATATAGAATATTGCCTCTTTTAGAGTTTTTTTTTCCCTAAAATGAAGTTTTATGATACTTCCAGACATAAATTCGAAAAAAGTCCAAGGAAAAAGTTAAAAAAAATTAGAAATATTTTTTTTTGTTTTTTTTGAGCAACATTGATGCATATATTTTCTTGATAAATAATGGAAAAAAAGACCTTTCATGTTCAGAAACTCATAATGAAATTTGATTTGGAATATTTCTGCCTTTGAAACTTTTCCAAAAAAACTTAAGTATTTTGGGAAATTTTGAATCAGATCGGAAACGTATAAAATTTGGAGCAAAAAAAGTCACTTTTCACAAATTTCAATTTCAAATGTAATTTTCTCAATAACCATTAACCCGAGATATTCTGTTTATTCTAAAACTTATAGTGAACTTTGGTGTAGAACATTTCCTCTTTTAGCGTTTTTGCTCTAAAATGAAGTTTTATGTTACTTTCATGCATCGTATCGAAAAAAGTCCGAAGGAAAATGTATCAAAAAAAAAATTAACTATATTTTCGTGATTTTCTGTCAACTTTGATGGATGTATTTCATGAGTATATAATGGAAATATAGATTTCTTTTCTGTGGTGGCTTATAGTAAAATTTGATAGAGATTATTTCTGTCTTTGACATCATCCTTCGGAAATGATGTTTTGTGGGAGAATTTTGCAGAAACTCGTATGGAGTACGGCTCTAACCCTAAAATGTGTTTTATTAAGATTTAGGCGTTTAGGTAAGATTTAGACTTTTGATGTCCTCTAGGACCTATGATAGAATTTTATGACAATTACATTTGAAGAATTTTTGGACAGGCTACGACCACGTTTAAAGGGAATTTTTAACCATATTTTGGAAAAAAGGACCAAAAAGACACCTTGGGTGAATCGAATGAGGGTTAAAATATTTTATCAAAGTAATTTTCGTATTGTTGTCAGTAATATTGCCAAAGACACTTTATGCCTAAAATGTAAGAATTTCAGTTAAACTTAAATCAGGAAACTTATTTCAAAAAATGTAAAGGAGGGTGAAACTTGCCTCCTCTTTTTAGGTTACTCTGCGATCTAAACTTTCAAAATCCCGATACATGTGTTTTCTATTTTTAGTTCTACTTTAAAAATACGCTAGATTTTTTCTGTAAGTATTGAAAAATTGATTTTGTCACCCAGTGTAATTGTATATACTTAGTCACTGTGCTTCCTTAGTGTGAGGATTGTGACTATTTTTCCCAGAGAACATCTTCTTAATGAAGTGAAATTACCTCAGCAATTTTTAAAAATGTAAATATTTTTCTAATAAAATATTTTGGGCATATCTTATAAATTGTAAATTCCATTGCATATATCTCAGATAAACATTCATAAAAAGGTTAACCCCGGAAAAAGCTCTAACGTAAAAATGACTTTATATTGGGTCTTTTTTTAAATTTTCTAGGTTAGTCAGAAAATAAAAAGAAACAAATAGTTCGTGAACAGTAAAGTTCGAAGGCAGTATAGACAAATATCTGCAAAAATTCAGAAATTTTAAAGCCATTCCGAAACAGATTTAATTTTTGAATATTTCCTCCCTAAAAATCCTACAGATTTTGAGTTTAAAAAGAAGAAAAATGATTTTCAAAGGCAGTAATATGCAAATATCTGCACTAAATACTTTCTAAAATATATTCAAAACTTTAAAGCCATTTCGAAAATAATTTAATTATTTTGTTCTTTTTATTTGTTTATTTGATTTTTTTAAGCATTTTTCGATCGGTAACTTTAATTTCCCTTTAAACTTTTCTCAAAATTTGATAATTAATTTGAATATAGTTTTGTATTGCAAAATATCTCAGAAATGTCCACAGTAGTCGATGTGGGTTTTTTTGAGTTCCCACATTCAGACTTCACTAGAAACCAAAATTTTTTTATATAAAATATATGACATTCCCTGGACTTCGATTTTCGTCGAAGATTAGTTTTTTTAATTTTCTCTGGGAAGATTTTTGATGATTTTTATATATATTTTTTAAAGCATTCTTCGGTCAGATATTTGGGTTTCCCTTAAAAAATTCTCGAAACTTAATAGTTAGCGATTTTTAGACCTTGGTCCTTCATAAGAATATTTTTTATCCTTCAAAACATCTCAAAAATGTCCACAGCAGTCAGTGTGGGGTTTTTTCAGTTCCCACATTCAGACTTCATGTGAAACTAATATTTTTATATAAAAAATATGACATTCTCATGGACTTCGATTTTCGTCGAAGATTTTTTTAAGATTTTTCTCTGGCAAGTTTTTGCAGCTGTTTATATTTAAGACCCCTGATTTTTATATTTTTTGAAGCTTTCTTCGATCACTTTCCTTAAATTTTCCCTTAAAAAAATTCTCAAAACGTGATGGTTTTTGAATTTTTTGGTCATTCATTAGAATATTTTTTGTCCTTCAAAGCATCTCAGAAATGTCCACAGCAGTCAGTGTGGAGTTTTTTCAATTCCCACATTCAGACTTGACGTGAAACCAATGTTTTTTATATAAAATGTATGATATTCCCATGGACTTCGATTTTCGTCGAAGATTTTTTTTTTTAATTTTCTCTGGCAAGTTTTTGTAGCTGTTGATATTTAAGACCCCTGATTTTTATATCTATTTTTTGAAGTATTCATCGGCCAAAAATTTAGGTTCCCCTTTAAAAAATTCTCAAAAATAGTTAGCGAATTTTTTAGGTCCTTCATTTGAAGATTTTTTGTCCTTCAAAACATCTCAGAAATGTCCACAGCAGTCAGTGCGGGGTTATTTCATTTCCCACATTCAGACTTCACGTGAAGCGAATATTTTTTTATATAAAATGTATGCAATTCCCATGGTCTTCGGTCTTAATCGAAGTTTTTTTTTAGGATTTTCCTCTGGCAAATTTATGTAGTTGTTGATATTTAAGACCCCTGATTTTTATATATATATTTTTTTTGAAGCTTTCTTCGATTATTTTCCTTAAATTTTCCCTTAAAAAATTCTCAAAAACTTGATAGTTTTTGAATTTTTTGTTCCTTCGTTGGAACATATTTTGTCTTGCAAAATATCTGAGAAATACCCACAGCAGTCAGTGCGGTTTTTTTCAGTTTCCACATTTAGACTTGACGGGAAACCAATATTTTTATATAAAATATATATGAAATTTCCATGGACTTCGATTTTTTATGTCTTTAATATTTTAAGATTTCTTCTGGCGAATTTACTTTATTTCCCCCAAGTTAGAAAAAATCTAACTTTCTTTTACAGATAAACAGCAGTATTAGCCCAATATTAATCCGAATATTTTCAATTTTTTACAATATCACCTGTTCGGCTGGTTGTTCGATATAATGTATATAAGTTGGTAAATATGTTTCCTCTACTAAAAATATATTTATTTTAACAAGCACTTTTCTCCGTAAGTATTCTTTTCCAATTTTTCTTTGGGAAATTATCCAATATCGTTTTGTTTGTTTTTTTTTTTCAAAACACTATAAATTTTTCAATTAATATTTACTTTTTTTTATCCGTTAAACATTCGGCTTTTATAGCTTCTCACTCGTTCACTCTGGATTACAGGTAGTTTGCTGTTGTTGTTATATGTTTTCTTGTATGTATTCTTGGTTCGGATGTGTTGCTTTTAGTTTTCTGCAACAGCTTCTTCTTCTACTTTGACTTTGAGTTTGACTTGCACTTCGTCGTCGTCCACGTCCACGACTTCTTTCTTCTTTCCAAAACAAACAGACAATTGGAAACTTCTTCAAAAGTTCAGGTTCCCAGAGGAACCAGGCAATGAATTTTTAAACAGTACAGAGGGTATGAAATACGCGCACACACAGATACACAACTGCAAGGGGCACACAGGCGCACACACACACACTCGCTCAGTTGTGGTCTTTGTAAAGTTTACACAGTTTGAAAACCGACAAAAAAAATCTGATGTATCCAAAATTTGATGTTGGAGTTTACAAATCCGTAAGGTTTCTTCTTTTCGTGGTGGTCGTTTGAATTTTTTTCTTAAATATGTTTGTGATTGAATTTTTGGCGATTTTTTTCTTTAGTTATTTGAATTTCTATTCCGTTACACTTTGAAAATATTTTTTTGTTGAAAAAAAAAAATATTTTTTTCTTCACTAACTTGAATATTTTTTAAGCTTTTTTAACTTCTGATTAGTTTTGTGAGTCTCCTCCACTTGTGCTATTATTTTGTACCACCAAAACACGTCTGCACGAAACGATGGTCAGCCACTAACTGAAGAGAAGCAGACCTACAACGGACTTAAGAACATCGGCTAAAAGCCATGGTCATGGTTAAACATTTTCCGAAAGCCAGTCAGGCAGCCAGCCAGGCGGTCGTCAATGGCAGAGAAATGCCAGCAAAGTCAACGTCAGCTTCACCAGACAGCGGTCTACAGTAACTTAACATAAGCAGAGCTTAGTGGAGACACTGGATGGTTGGATGTCTGGCTGATGGGTCGGCAATGTAAAGAAGGCAAGATCTCTTCACACACACACACACGCACTACCATGCACACATTCACCCCAGCAAGAAAGGCAGCGATCTTCATGTTAAATTGGCGGTTGGCGTCAGCGTTGCTTCGCTGGAAGACGACGACAAAAAGAAATGAAAGAAAGCATCAGCTGCATAGTTGGCTGGCTGGCTAAGCACAAAAGACAGGCTGAACGGGGTTTCTGTTGGCTGGTAGCTGTTTGAAGCCAAGCTTCATTCCATTGGGGGGGCAACCTCCACCAATGTTTGGCGGCTGGGCCAAACATGTTACAGCAAAAACAAAATTCAAATTCATTCACAGCACACATGTAACAGGTCCAAAATGGACCTGAGCTTAACATTAATGTTGGTGGGATGGCTGTGAATCCCCTGAACTAATGCCAAGTTGTAATGTTGTTGTTGTTACTGCTGAACACTTGTTGTTGTCTCAACCCAAGGAAGTTGGGGAGCCAACATCTTTACCGGCAATAATGTTAAGTTTACAGCAGCAGCATTGACAGCTGCTGCTGCTGCCGCTTTTCCCACAGCATTGCACTTGGCAACTTGGTCTCTCTGTTGTTTTTTTTTTTTGTTACCTTATTTTGATTTCCGAATTGAGTTGTTGTTTTACTGGCTAGCTGGCTGGCTGACTGCTGTTATTTCTCAGTTTTCTTTTTTTTTGTAGTTGTGGTGCATTCACATAATTGGGTTGCCACTGCAGGAAACCAAGAGCTTTGGCCATCCTCTAGGAAAAGAAAAGAGTAAGTGGAATGTCAACTTTTCTTGAAGTCTCCACATGATGCACTTGTTAAGATTACCGGACTTTCTTTTGTTCTCTCAAGAATTTTGATGGAGATCTTGGAGAATTCGGGAGAAAATTCTCTTTATTTGGCGTACTTTTTCTCTTGATTTTTTTATTTTTATTTTTTTTCAGACCAAGAATAGGTGGAAAATTGTCGAAATTTTGAATAAACATAGCTCTTATAAAATGTAAAACTCCTCACTAATATTTTCAAAATTATTGCATTATTAGTGCAATATTTCTGGCAACAACAAATATGGGGCATAGATATGCCATATTTGAAAAAATTTTATAAATCTCAAATAAATCGTAAGAATTGTTAAAATTAAGCCGAAATTCTCATATTGTAGCATCAGAATAAAACACAAGTACCTTCTGGTATCATCCCCAAAAAGCACCAAAATAATCAGAAAATTTTCACCGACCCCCTTTAAACATTCACATACATATACAGGCATGGCAGAAGAATACAGGTAGATGCATCAAAGCTTGGGAGCATTGATATGTCAAAAATTTTTAAATGTTTTTTCAAATATAACTAGATTTATATATGTTTTCTTATACGACGTAATTCGGAGGTTATTATAATTCGTATTTTTCAACAATTTTTATAAATTTAAATAAATTTTTATTCAACATTTTCAATTCCAAAATTGGTTTGACAGTTCATTGTCACATCAGCTGTGTCGATGCATCTACCAACATTCTTCTACCATGTATGTAGGATGAGATAAAAAAAACTGCAACCAAGTCAAACGCCATAATTTTTACATTTTTTTTTTTCAAATTTTATTGAATAAAAGCAAAAAATGTCGGAAATAGCATCAAATTTTAGAATAAGTTTAGATTTATTCGAATTAACCGAATTATGGCCATCAAACGGCCAATGAAACCCGAATCCGTCACACGCTGCTCGAATGTTTCTCTACGGTATTTTGGCCCATTCCCGGCGAAGTGCTTGCTTGAGGTGATCGACACTTTGGTATTTTTTAGAGCCAATCTTGCTTTCCAAAATACTCCAGACACAATAGTCCAACGGATTGGTATCCGGAGATTTTGATGGCCATTGGGCGCTGGAAATGAAGCGATGTAGCTCATTTTTAACCATTCTTGGGTGGCGCGTGCTGAGTGCGATGGTGCTGAGTCCTGTTGGAATGTCCAAGGCTTGCGGCCAAAATGTTTGCGTTTGCGTGTCCAAGGCTTTAATACACCCTCCAGAACATTTTCGCGATAATGTTCGGCATTTATTCTGCCATGATCGATTAATAGAGCGAATAGCGACCATCGGCTATTATGGCGGCCCATATCATCACCATGGCATCACCGGGTCTTGAGTTCTGGTGGCCAACCAAAGGTGCACGTTTTCAGCTGACCTCTTTGGCAAGTAAACACGATCTTTTTTTTCGTTTACAAACTGCTGGACATCGAATGTTTTCTCATCGGAGACGGAGAACCCCAAATTCGGCAGTTCACCACTTTCGGCCAAGCGAAGTAACCCTTTAGGTCTGTTTTCTTTCTGTTGCGGTGTAAGTTCTTGCACTTTTTGGAATTTCAATGGCTTTACACCGAGCTCATTTGCCGAATGGAATATTGCGATATTTTCAGCTGACGAGCCACTGCGATGCGGGTTCCGATCATGTCGCTTTTTTACTTTTCGCACCATTTCTGCTGATGTTGCTGTTTTCTTCCATCCACTTTCTTGATGTCGAGCTACGCTACCAGTACCAGTCACGGCAACGAGCGATGGTACGAGACACAAACGATTTATTCACATTTAGATGCTGGAGGGCTCTAACGTTAGATATCTGCGGTTTTCCAGGCAAATATAAAAAATCACAGTATCACGCTTGATTTCCATCACGAATAATTTTTTTTCTGGAAAATTCTCATCAAAATGCTTCTGTAAGCTTGTAAACAATATAATGAGCTGTCACTGGAATAATTTTAACAGCTATCGGACAAATGCCTTAGAAATGACAGCAGTCTGAAAGTGGTTGCGTTTTTTTTCATCTCACCCTCTCAAGATTTGCAAGAAAAAATAAATCAAGCTTCTGTTAAGCCCAGTGCGGAGGGTATATATCTATAGGAGCATCGAATGAAATTTTCCGACATGTTATACCCTCAGCCATATGGCTACATATCATATCGCTACATATATCATTTGATACGACCAAAACGCGCCTCATCGAAAAAAAGTTTTAAGACCCAAGGTCTCTTTGGACTAAGATCAAAACATTTGAAGTCGATCTAGGGTTGTCAGTCTGTCCGTCCAGATGATGAATGGTGAGCACGATAATTTTCGAAGGGAGTATCCGATTTGGTCCAAACTTGGCACATCGTAATATTATTTTTAAACTTAGATTGAGCTCGGGCAACTTCGCCCACTCTTTTCGGTACCTCCCCCACAACCGGTCAACATTCCGAATAATTGTGACTTTTATAAAATGGGAAATAAAATTCCAATTGTTTTCAAATTTCACGCAATCCGATATTTTTATTAACACAAGATCTATCATAAAGATCGGATATATCGGTCCACACCTTCTGGTACCTGCGCTACAAAGGCCAACATTTTAAATAGCCATGAAGCTGGTAAAACGCGAATTGACCATCCGATTTCTTTCAAACTCTGCACATCACAATATTTTTACTAACACAAGATCTGGTGGAAAGATGGGTAAATATGGGGCAAACCTGCTGGTACCTTCCCCACAAAGAGTTAACGTTTTATGCAGCATGAATCTCATAAAACGCGAAAGGAACATCCGATTCCTTTCAAACTCGTCACAACCCAATATTAATATTGAGACAAACTCTGTTGTGAAGTAGTAGATATCGGCACACTCCTTCTGGTACCACCCCCACGAAGGGTCAACATTGTGAATAACCCAATCCCTTATAATATGCGAAGTCCGAATGGTTCAAAGGTTCACACATTCCAATATTTCGACTAACACAAGATCTGGCGTGAAGATAGAATCGGTTCATTCTTTCTGATAGCTTCTTCACAAAGGGTCAAAATTTCTGAAAGCATTGCTAGCTTTTGCAGTGCTTCTGGCTGTTCTTCAGCCCAAAATTGACAATTCTGCTTATTTACGTACCCGTTGAGCCTAAAACAAGCTTCGTCGCCGAACACAATATTTCGATTTCGAATTTTCTTAACGAGTACGCATTTTGATAATAGAATTCAATTATTTGCCAGCATTATTCATTCTTTAGGACGTGGTTAAAGCATAGACTAAACTGAAGATATTTGATAGTGAAACAAAACTCGAACGAGAGTACAACAGACAGACAGACGAGCGGACGTCTTAGAATTTTACGCTAATCAAGAATATATATACTTTGTTGGGTCTAAAATTACTATTTCAATGAGTTACAAACGGAATGACGAACTTAATATACCATCCATACTATGTATGGTCGAGGGTATAAAAATTAACCTTTAATTTCGGTTTTTAACAAAATGTTTCATTAAGTTACCGATAGGAACTCTGGTGGGTTTCGCTGAATATTTATACCCTACACCACAAGGTGGTCAGGGTATTATGTCTTTGTGCATTTGTTTGTAACAGGCAGAAGGAAACGAGATAGACCCATAGTTCCTTTTGATGATCTGCATAGAATCACATTCTGAGTCGATTTATGCATGTCCGTCCGTCCGTCTGTCCGTCTGTCCATGTATTTTTGTAAACAAAGTACAGGTCGCATTTATTGCCCGATCCAGATGAAATTTTGCAAAGATCTTTTGTTTGGCCCAAGGACAAATCCTATTGAAATTGGAGATAATCGGTCAAAATTTAGATATAGCTCCCATATATATCTTTGTCCGATTTGCCTTTTTATTGTGCACCAAACGTGTAATATCAACCCGAATTGTATGGAATTTTGCATATACACCCAAATTAGGGCTGAAAATATGTATGCAAAATTTGATCGAAATCGGTTCAGATATAGCTATAGCTTCCATATATAT